ATTTTGATGAAATCCTATATATATATAAATATATATAAAATAATCTTTTTCTTCTTTTACAACTTCTGCTTTTGGAGTCATATCTAAAATAATGATTGGTTGGCACAAAGTCAAGAAGATTAGTTCTTGTACCTCTGAGCTCTAGCTCTGGAAAGTAATCCATTGTGAATTCTCTTCTGTGTAGATGTGAGAAGATCCACCTTCATTCTCTTAAATATCAAGTTGTCTTAGCACATTTGTCAAAAACCCTGTTCTCCCATTGTTGACAATCGGTTGGTCGTGAATGTAAGGGCTCCCAATTCTGCCCTGTTCCCACGTGGCCGTCATCATGTGGCCACCATTACGCGACCATCATGCCACACTGCCTTGATTGTTGCAGCTCCGTAGAAATCAGTGTGAGTCTTCCAATTTTGTTCTTTTTCAAAATTGTCATTATCCTTTAATTGTCATATGGATTTTAGAGTGAGTTTTTCAGTTTTTGTAATTAAACAAAGCAAACCAAAAGAGCCAGAGAGGTCAGAGTGGTTAGTCTGGTGAGATTCGAAAAACAGCCAGGAATTTGGGCTTAACATGACCCCAGCCAAGCCCCAGGAGGATATGCAGTTTTGGCAGGCTGGCGATGGCTACAATGCTCAAGGAAATCCAGTGAATATTAAGAAGATAGACCCTTCTGGGAGGGGTCTTCAATAGGCCTTGTGTTTGGGAATGGCTACAACAGCAGAGTGAGAAGGAAGTGTTGGGGGCCATCTGGGTTGAGGAACGGACAAGACCCTGAGCTGAACATGGTCTCATTGCTGTGACCAGAGGCCTGAGGGGGACAGCAGTACCACGAGGGGTGAGTCCATCCCTGGTCTTCGTCCTGTCCCTGGAAATGGCATGTTCCAGACCCAGCAGGCAGGTCCCAGGTCTGCTAGGGAAAGGGGATTTCATAAGGACAGGGGAGACGGGACTGCAGCTTGGCTCTGAGCACCTCCTAGCCTGGTCTCTGGCTCAGTGCAGGACAGTCTCTTCTCCATGGATGCGTGAAAGTCGCCAGCTGTTCTTTAGGAAGCTTGCCTGCCTACTGGAGTTCCGTAAAGTGAGTCTAGGCCATTGTGGGGAAAGACACGAGGGCAGCGTCAGGTCACAGGACTCAAGGTGCAAAGATGGTCTCTAGAAAAGGTGCCCAGGCCAGTGCCTTGCTATTTGAGACACTCGGCATGTCAGGGACTCTGACATCTGTCTCCTGCGTCAATGAGCAGGGCTACTCAATGAATTCTTTAGAGACTTACAGACTCCAAAGAAAGTGCCAGTCTTGACAAAAACATCTTCCTCCCTAAGATCCCTGGTAAGAATGGGGGTGATGGTGACAGCAGCGCCTGCACCCCTCGCCGTGAAGCCCTCTCCACACGTCTCACAATCTCCGATACTTCCTTCTTTCCCCTTCATAGATGAAAAGTTAAGTCTCAGAGAGGCTGGGCTGATGACACCGCCCTGTGCGAGCTGTGGGCCCCCTTGGGCAATCACCAGGTGTACAGGGAACAGCCTTAACACCAGCAAGGGTACCCTGATGGAACGCCCTCAGTGGCTTTGCTGCTGTGGGTGGCAGAGGCAGCCCTCCAGAGGGATAGACGACCCCAAGATCCTAGCACTTTGCCTGAGCAGACGTAGAGCCCAGGACTGACTTAGAAGAGGGGGCAGGTCTCGAGGGAGAACCCCTCAGGGCTCTGATATTGGGTGAGGGTGGAAAAGAGCACTAGTGAGCTGCTTATCCCCATGAACCAGCCACTGCAGAGGCTTTCACGGTCACACCTGCGGGGTCCTCTTGGGAGGCGGCCTCTCTGGAATGCCCGGTTGGTACCTGGTGCAGGTGTGCGTGGGGAGGGGGCAGGAACAGTTCTACCATCTCCCAGACCTATGCCCTTCCCTCCAGCTCAGTCACGCGCATATTTACATCTGTCCCCGTAACAAGAAATCCCACCAGTCTTGTTAATCGGCCCCTGTGCAGGCTCCACGGCTTTCCTTCCGGGAGTGTTCTCAGGAAGTGAGCCCTGCGCTCTTGGGGGCCTGGCCGTGTCACCATGGAGAGGGCACACAGAGAGCCTCATGCCCTGTCGCCAAAGTGTGACGAGCACTCTGAGGGCACTGACCTGTTTGTTCCCAGCATGGGTTTCCTCTCTCTGCCCACAGGGTCTTGCCATTCCAACCTTGGCCTGGCCTCCTGGTTAGCTAGGGTTACAGGTGCCAGCTGCTCATCAAGCCCGTCTGCTCGCATTGGCCCGGGACCTAAACCCAGGCCTCCCGTGAGGCTCTGTCATTTGCGGGGGTGCCTTCCTGTTCTGAAACCCCTTGGGGTCTGCTGTATATGCCTGTGAGCTCAGTGTCAGGGCCCCTGACAGCACACATTTCTGCCACGGGTTTGAGAGTTGATTTCCTGGTGAGCAGGCTTGGCTGCCCCTATAGGCACTGCACCCCCATGCAGGTGTTAACCCTGTTTTACAGATGAGGACCTAGAGAGCCCCAGAGATCTCAGGTTGTGCAAAAGTCCCACAGCTTCCTCTTCACTGGACCCTGGAGTCTGGTCTGTGCAATGACCTCCTGTGGCTGGTTCGCAGCTCCGTTTCGGCAGGAGCATGCACAGCAGGTGCATGCCAGGTCCTCGCCGCTCACCCCGCCCTGTGCATTGTACCTTCCCCAAACAACTAGAGGTGCTGCTCTCTGCATTTTCTCCAGAGTAACCTGAGGCCCTGCAGTGGGACAAGAGGTGCCTGGGACCAGGAGGGTGGCATTCCAGGAGACGGGGTGTGGGGTGTACACCACTGTCGTGAAGGAGGAGAGGTAATGGGAAAGACAGCCCTGTGCCTTCAGCCAGACCGAACTCCCTTTCAAGGAGAGCGCAGAACAGATGCAGGATATTCATTTCCTGTTTTTATTGTCAGTTACTTAATGACCTTCCTTTGAAAAGCCCCAGTTGTAGAAGCAGGTTGTCATGGAAACAGGGAGTGACGTGCAGGGAATAGGTACACAATGCATTTCTTTGTCACGTCCAGCTGATGTGCCCAGCCTCTGCTTAAATGTGTGAATTTATGTGAGGAATTAAATATTAACTGGAGGCACTGCCCGGAGAGAGGCAGAAACACAGGCAGAGAAAAGATGCCCAAAACGGGGACAGAGAGGGGCTGGCTCTGTGGCCGCAGGCGGAGAGGCCTCCGGGCTCCAGCAGAGGACGCTTGGCTCTGCTGGTGGCTCTGGAGAAGCGGGTAGAGCAATGTCCCTTCCTTCTTCTCTCGCTGTGCACTCTCTGGAGTCAGCGAAGGATCTGGTTGCAATGTGAATGCTTCCTCATCAGTCAGTTCATTTCCGGATTTGCTCACCTGACCTGCTCCAGCACCCTTGGTCAGACTGGGCCACCCCCGTGGAGAGCCACCCCCAGCCCAGGCCTGCTCGTAAAAGGCCACCAGGGTTGGGGGGGGCGGGACAGAGGAGTGCAGGTCGTGGATGCGTTTGGGGCACTCCTACTTCAAAGCTTGGGGCTGCACCTTGTCCATCGTTCTGGAGGATTCCTGAAAGGAGG